ATTGTAAGTTCGAGTGTCATTATTATTGCTTATGAAAATTGAAGACGTGTTACGTTTTTAATTAAATGCTCAAATTCAGATTATGTGAGAGGAAGCATGTCGAAAACACAATTTTGTTGTTAAAGAAGATACTCGAACTTTATTGAAAAATGGTATGAAAATTCATTCGGTCAACCTAGGACTTGTATCAGGGACGTATTTAGAAAGGGGAGGTCCCCCCCCCCTCCCCACCAGATCCAATTAAATTTTTTTAGGGTATTTTCTTTATTATTATTATTATTTTTTTTTTTTTATAAAAACAGATTTTTAATGAGTCACCAAATCTTAAATTTTTTTAGGGTATTTTCTTTATTATTATTATTATTATTATTATTATTATTATTATTATTATTATTATTTATTTTTATTTTTTTTATAAAAACATATTTTTAATGAGTAATTTCTTTTTAATGTATTAGTCCGACTTGAAATTTTTTAGCCTGATTTTGAATTCAAACTTGGATCCGTCCCTGACCTGGATTACATACGTTCGCAAGTCTACTAATGCATAAATGCATATTGCCTCGTCTCTCTACCCTGTTTTCAATTTTGTTGAAGACAATTCAATAGAAAATTATAAAATGTTCAAAAATCGTGTTAATTTTAATATATTCTTCCATCTTCCAATATTTTTTAATTATTTTTTTTAGGAAATTTCAAGTAAACATAGAAAATACAATCTTATTTCCACTTCAATTTTACTACTTTTAATTATTTATTCTTAGGGGTCGTTTGAGCCCCATTATTTATAGGTCATAATGAGATAAATAATATTTTTTTAAAAAATGAGTGGTTGAAATTTTAATTTACGTGTAATATTATTTTATTAAAAATTGTATAATTAAAAGTAAGAGAGAAAAAATTTTAATTTAATGTAATAAAAAATAATGGGATTTAAACGGGAGTTTAGTGCGGAGTGTGGAGTTAGCAAAAGCGAAGGGGTGGTATTCCTTCCAACCCGGCTTGCAATGCATTTAGACGCTCTTGTTCACACGTCGGCATGAAGCTAAAATATTGTCAGAGGCATCAAAGAAAGGTGAAACCCTCTTAGATTTCGCCACGTGTCATTGACAACCGACTCTTTTGGCTTTGGCGGTCACATGCTTAGCTGACACACTCTCCACTCTCTCACGTGCTATTTGGACATTAGACAGAGTTATTTTGCCCTAAAAATGCTTGATGTAAAAAAAAAAAAAATTCAACTCCTCTTCTACTCTTTTAGTTTTAAGTAAAAAAAAAATTTCAAGAGCTTCGGACGATTAAAAAGTCCCAAGATCCATATTTACGATCTTTATTGCACATCGAAGGGAATTGGCAGATTTAGGGAGGACTCGACTGTGCTTAGGGCTGGACAAATCTCCTGAACCAAACCGACCGAACCGAACCCAACGGTTATTATCAAATTAAATACCCGAACGGGTATCTAAATTGAGAACCGACGGGTACGGTTCGATTCTCAGTTCTAGACCAAGAATCGAAGAACCGAATAAGAATCGAATCTTTCTAATTTTTTTTTATATTGAGTAAATCAAATTATTTTAATTTTAATTTTTTCTAAACAAATTAAAAAATTAACAATTTCTAAATCCAAATTTTGGCCCAATAATTTGTTTTATTTCTAATTTTTTAATTTTTGGCTCAATTACCAAGTTTATTGTTTCATTTCTTAGCCAAACAAGATCAGATTCACTAAATAACCCTAAACACCTACACTAAAGTGTATAACGTTGTCTCGACTCTCGCACTCACTCTTGCAGCCTCGCTAATATTCCAAAACCTATACAATCGTCGACCGACACTGTGACCTATAATCGAAGCTGTGACCTCCACCGACCGAAACTTTGATCATAGCGATCATTTGAACAAGGTAATTTATTAGTCTCTGACATTCCAAAATCATTGAATGTATTAATAGTTGTATTTATATAATGTTGTTATAAATGTTAAAAAATTTAATTATAATAAAGAACCGAACCGAACCCGAACGGTTCCATAATTATATTTGGACCCGACGGTTCCATTTACTATACCCAAAAAGTTTGGTTCGGTTCGGTTCTCTTTAGAACCGAACCGAACCGACCTGCGCGCCACCCCTAGCTGTGCTCTAACCCATCTCCCAATCCAATTCATGAGTAATTTTATTATTTTTTTAATTTTTTTGCATATTTGCTTGTGTTAAAATTTTTCCTAAATTCACTCATGTCGAAGGTTACTCGCTCAAATCAACATAGGGATGTCAACAAGTCGAGTCGAGCCCGCTCGCGAGCCGAAGTTATAGGCTCAGGCTTGGCTCGGGCAAAATATCCGAGCTTTTTTCCAGGCTCGAGCCGAGCCGAGCAAAAGGTAGACAAAAAAATTAGGCTCAACCCGAGCTTTTGGCTTGGACATTTCCGAGGCGAGCTGGCTCGAGTTTTATTTGGTTAGGAATTTTTTTTTAAATTAAATAAAATGACAGCAGGTTGCTGCCTTCTTAGGCAGCAACCTGCTGCCAATATTTCTGGCAGCAACATGCAGCCTTTAAGGTAGTGTGCTGCCTTTTGTTTTATTTTTTTTAAATATATGCTCCGAGCCAATGAGCCACACGGGCTGGCTTGACCTTTGCCCGATACCTAAAAATGAGGCTTGACCCGAGTCTCAAGTCAGGTGGGCTCGAGCCTTTTTCGAGTCAAGCCACGGACGGCCCGAGTCAGCAAGTTCGATTGTCATCCCTAACTCAACATTCAACTCAAAGGATTCATCATAATTTATGATAGAAGCTTCAAATAAAGTCCACAATCAAATTGTGCAACGAAATATAAAAGAAATTGGAAAAAATATATCCACATATTTACACTGTAGTTAGATTTTCATGACCTCAAATAAATGTCAATTTTTTAAACAGAAATATATCGTTAAAAATTGTGTTATGTCATAATATTCATTTCTTATATGTAAACTATAATATCTTTTTAAATGCAATATTAAAATTTTTTTAATGTTCAGTTTTCTTAATTATCAAAAACAGGATTCAATCAGAAAAATCAATAAATATCGTAGAATTTTATATTTTAGCTATATCCATTCTAGACTTTTTGTAAGTAAAAGGATAGAAATCTATAAACTTTATTTGAAATTTTGGTAATTTTTAATTTTCGTGTAATTACTTAAATGCTTTATTTTTTACTTTCATGTTTTAGTCACGAGTTTCAATTGATTGTCAATAAATGACAGCAGTAACACTCTTATCCACTCCTCAACGTAGGGATCGGTGTCAATTTAAGTAGGCCCCACAATACTTGGTCTTCACTAGCTCACAATTGACACGTGTCTCCATTTTTTACCTTGGATTTGTTCGAATCCGACGTGGGTAAATTCTCAAAACAGAAATACCAAAGATCTCGCCAAAGTCTGACACGTGGCGAATTAATTGCCGTTGAATTCCATCAAGTTGGCTGTAAACTTCGTGCTTATTAGTGGGCACTGTCCGAAATCTGAAACAGTATACTAAAAAAGCAAAAGGTTGAAAATAAGTTAAAAGAATAAAATAAGGCTGAAAATCAGAGATTTTTTATTTTAAAAATAAAAAAGAAATAATTTAAGCACGAGTTCCGATGATAAAGCAGAGGAATCGGGCTGTAAACTTGGATGCTAATGCACGAGCCCCAGCGACAAACCTGCAAGATCGGTTCCAAAGGAGTTGAATTTGAAGATTATTAATTTTTTTCCACAATTACTTACTTTGTTTCCAAAAGTTAAAGTGAAGAATAATTTATTACCATTTATAATTAAATATGGGCTTTTATAAAATTTGTATATATCAATTTGCGTCGAGAGTTAGCCATTTTCGTTGTTATCATTCGATTCCGAGACACCATTGAATTGTTGCTTACTTATAAGAATAATGTTATTTATATTTATTTACTGTAAATAGACATCTTTTATTACAACTCATTTTTTATATATTAATTTTTTTAAACAAGGGCTGACACCTCAGCCCCTATTTGAGCGGAATAATCCGTAAGTCAATATTTCAAATTATCACACAAGACGATTACTGTAATCATACACTATGAATATCATTATTGTAATTATAAATAAATTTACATAATGAGTTTGACAATGTGTAAAGTGTAAGGATCCTAACCATTGAATTTAAAATCAGTTGTTTACATCAATGGACATGATATCTGCCAATTCATATATTGTCAAATTTGTAATTCAATTCATTATACAAGTAGTATGATGTAAAAACAAGCATGACGAAGATGTACATTAAATTATGTATCTCGAGGGTTACTTTTCTCTTTAATTTTTCATTTTCGAACATTAGAATTACAATACATAAAGTTTAAAATATACTCATAGATGTAACTTATAAGCAACCTTTATATGATTGTGTGGTTGTTGCTTTGGCAATGTTTGGAGAAGGGGTTGGACCATAGGTAGATAAAATGTAGGCCTTATTTTTAATTTTTATTTTCTTAAGTGAGATATATATTGTTTCTTCTTCATTAGAAAAATTGTCAATTGGATTAATATTATTGGACTAACAGCTGATTTGAACATTTCAACTGAATTGATCGGTTCATTAGGGAACATAAATTGTATTTGGACAATTCTTCTGATGTTTTATCAAATTTACATTTGTTTCTATTTAGTTAAAATTCCGATTATGCCCTTAATTCTTTTTAATTATGTTACAAAGGATAAAGGAAACATATTGTTAATGCACATTGCACTTTTTGCAGTGAATTTTGCCATTTTGTCCCATAAAGTCTCTTGAGATGACCTACCTCTTAAGTAAAGGCCATTCCTATGTGGTCCGCCAAATTATACCAAGAAAAAAAGTATAAAATCTGTATGACATAAATGAGGGAGATTTTAGTAATTTCACATGGAAATATATTTATTTTGATTTTAAAACTACCAAATCTTTACTTTTTTTAAAGCCATATTTTTCCTCGTCAAAATCCAATTTTTTAGCTGTCCGACTGTCCCCTTCAAACGCAAATAAACCCCCTCTCATCTCTCCCTCCTCCAAAACTTTCACTCCCGACTCTCTCTCTCTATAGTCCGTTTCTTTAAATTTTCCCCTTTTTTAGACATTGTGAATTCAAGAAAATTCAATGGAAAATTCAGAATTCTTCCAGGGAGGTTACTGTAACCCCCAATTGACGCCCGAAAAACGTCTTTCTGATGCGAAAAACGGTGATCATTTCATCGTTGAGGACCTTTTAGACTTCCCGAATGATGATAGTATGGTAACGGATGGTCCATTCGAGGCCGTGACGACCGGAAACTCGACCGAATCCTCCACTGTCACGGCGGTGGATATCTCATGCAATTCATCCTTCTCTGAAAGAATGGCTGAAACCCATTTAACTGGTGATAATATTGGTGGCTGCCGGACTTTCCCCGATGGCCAGTTCTCTAGTGAACTTTGCGTGCCGGTAATTTGCTATTTTTCATTCAAATTCTGCAAAAAATTTTAATCTTTTACCAGATTTTTTTTGAAAATTAGTAATGTGAAACAATTGCACGTTACATATTTTATACATATGTATTTTGTATTAATGGCTTTAATTTATTTTCGTATAAAAACGTCTGCTTCTCCAGTCTGGTGGCTGAGAATAAAAACAGAAACTCAAATGATAAGATAATAAGTTCATGTTTGGTAAGCAGACTATAATTGGACACTACTATCTTTTTCCCCCCTTCTGCCAAACATGCTATAATTTTATGCTGAAAATTTTAGATTTTTCATTAAAAAAATGAAGTCTTAATAGTTCTTGTTGATGGGAAATTTACAGTATGATGATTTGGCTGAATTGGAATGGCTATCTAATTTCGTGGAGGAATCATTCTCAAGCGAGGATTTGCAGAAGCTGCAACTGATGCAAGGAATGAAGGCCCCTACTGATGAAGTTTCAGGAACTCACCAATACCAATTCCAGCCGGAAACCACCAGAAATGCCAGAATTCTCCGCCCTGAAATGTCAGTCCCTGCCAAAGCACGCAGCAAGCGCTCGCGCACCGCCCCCGGAAACTGGACGTCCCGACTTTCTGTGGTGTCTCCAACTTCCCCAGCGGCAATTTCATCCTCGTCCGAGTCTGACATAGTCTCGAGCTCCGGGAAGAAGCTTGTGAAAGTGCCGCAAAAGAAGGAGGGTTCCTGTAATGCAGCCACCGAGAACGGTGGGGAGGGGCGGAAGTGCCTGCACTGTGCAACGGACAAGACGCCTCAGTGGCGGACCGGGCCCTTGGGGCCTAAAACACTTTGTAATGCATGTGGTGTGCGTTATAAGTCGGGCCGACTCGTTCCTGAATATAGGCCCGCAGCAAGCCCGACCTTCGTTCTCACTAAACATTCCAATTCTCACAGGAAAGTTTTGGAACTTCGTCGACAAAAGGAGATGGTTAGAGCCCAGCAGCATCAACAGCAGCAACAATTTCTTCATCCGAACATGATGTTTGATGTATCCAACGGTGATGATTACTTGATTCATCAACATATCGGGCCCGATTTTCGACAGCTTATTTAGCTATAGAGGCTATTCTTGGAAGATCAATTTAGAGAATTTTCTCTAGTTTTATTAATTTTCTAGAACAAATTATTATTCCTAACTTATCGAATTTTGCAATGTTTTTTCTTTTGAATTAATCAGGAAAAAAGATGTAGTCAGAAAAAGGTAGAGCATAGCATCTAATGCCCTTCTATAATTTGAAGTTTAATGTGCCAAAATCTGGCAATTTCTTGAACCCATTTTTGTGATTCAAAGATTTTCTTCTTTATACGTTCTTCGAGTTACACAAGTAAACATTACTGGAGCGTAGACTACATAACACTCGACGTATAATTAAAGAAAAGAAGGTATTTTTCATTATACGATTAACTCGAAAAAATTGTTAACCATTTATTTATTTCAAATTGGGGTATCCATACATAGATGTCGGTTGGAAGTGTACGTAGCCTTTATCAATCCATCGTCAAAATTTTGGTTGTCTGAATTATTGTTTTGACCATACCTAAGTTGTCTGAACTTTGTGACTTAGTGTCTTTTGTTATGTTCACTGCATGATTCACCGACATGGGATCAAATTTTTCTTCTTGTTACTAAGCCAATGTTTGATTTAGGTTAAAATAAATAAATATATATATATATA